AGCAAACACTCGTACACTCTAAATGGAGTCAGATCAACGGGTCTCATCAAATCCGAGACGCCTAATTTAATTATAAATTTTAATTCAGAAATATTCGTTTAGTGTTAATTTTAGTAGGCTACGGAGTTTTGATTTGAAACGTTTGTTTAGCCAACAGCTACTTGGGGATTTAGTTATTTTACTAGTGCAGTTGATAGTACCTAAATTTTTAATCTTATTATCTAAACTATGTTCGCATTTTAGGCTGCTAATATGATAAACCAATCCATAAACCCAAATACGATTATCAACAACGACTATGGTGGGTTTATTGATAAATGTTAAAGGCGATCCAGATGATTTCTAAATTTAGAAGACATGGAGATATAGTGTGACGTATGTATGGGCCAGGTTAACATGCAGGTTGTTGACGTATATAAAAATTTAAAAATAATGAACATGACCAGAAAATAATTTTAAAGTTGAGACTGCTTGTGAAACTTCAGGCAGGTATATGATGCGTTATAAACCTTCCATAAGAAGTTACTGCATTTAGCTTAGTGACACTTACAAATATATGGCAAAAGCAACTGAAAAACATATACATGTTAAGTACAAAAAAAATCATCCAGTAAAATAGTTGAACTCGCCTGGATTATTTTTGAAAATTAGATTATTCAGTGGACGACATATATAACGCCATTCGTGAGTAGTAATGATCCAAAAGCATCCAGAATAAAACATGCAGTATGGCAATCACTTCCAGGGTGCTTGATGCTGTTGAGGTTTTTGACACTCGCTCGGATCAGAACAATCGAATGAATCCAGATAATTGTATGGTTGTCATTGAACGAACCATCTAAAAATGACCGTATGATTGCAGAAAACTTATAGCTGAAACTCACCGTATGTTTTTGGAGTAGTCATCCTCGTTGTTTGGCAATGGAACTCGAGAATATGAAATTAGGCAGGCAGTGGTCGGGAGAAAAGATATTACAGGATAGTGCGTAGTTTAAAACAGAATGAGGACTAATCAATATAACATTACGATAATGCATGTGAGCATTAATCAGAGGACTATTAGAATACAGGGTTAACATAAATATAAAATCGATCGAGAAAGTTAAAGTGGAAATAAGGATTAATAATGATAGGCTGCGTTTCTTTAGTTAGGCTCACCAATGTAGAATTATGGTCTACCATTATATTAGTACTGCTCTAATAATAGACCTAATCCCAAAATTGCAGATTCGTCATGATATAACTGCCTAATCTATAAGATCTTACGTGGAAGTCACACCATCGACTACACCAACTCACTGTATCGTATCAATTACCAATACATGATGTAGAACAAGGTTAGGCTAGAGAAAGAACAATATATTTAATATGAATAGAAGATATAAGGTAACATTTAGCAGAGACCACACCTGCATGGCCGAGCCATACCACTCGATCAACTCCAGTCCATTCAATTCATTCTTCGCGCCTTCTCCATCGTTAGGTATTTATCCGCGTTAAATATTGAATATCTACTTTCTGAGTAGTCTCGTGTTCAGCTTTGTGGATTGTTTAATGCCACTACAAGTGATTGTCATATGTGGTAAGCGATATTTGTACCTTAACGTGGGTCTTTGTAAACCTATTCACTGAATTTCAGATATTTCTGTGCCAAACATTGGTGTAGACCTACTACAACACCACGGAAACACAAACCTATATGTTTGTTTAACTTCCTTTTTAAGTTTTAGATTTTCCTCAGTCATTGTCAGGCACATAATCGACCGATTCTACCGACAGATACTTGACAAGTTTCCTGATCTGTACTGAACGCGAGTAAAATGCCCATGATTAACCAGCAACATTGCACACCACATCACGACAACTGGACAACCTGCATCTCGAAAGGTCTGTGACTTGTTCTCGGAAAGTTAAGGTTGGTCGAAAACGGATTCGAACAGATGATAGACTTAGGAATTATTTGTCCGTCGAACAGCCTATGAGCATCTCCCTTACAGGTCATCCCTGGAAAGGACAGCAACGACTGGCGTTCAACTGGTGAATATCGACTACTGAATGTGAAAACAATACCTGATCGCTACCCCTTGCCGCATATTCACGACCAGACAGCCACCTTAGAATTTACGATTGTCTCTGAAAATCAGTCCGATTAAAGCACATAACGGAATTCCTATGGTTGCAGGTGACATTTCTGATACCACTATCACCACTCCCTTTGGACTCTACGGATTTCCGTGCATATGATTCGGGTGATGAAATTTTTCACAAACTTTTCAATGACTCATCGATGACGTCTTTCAAGGTATCATTTTCGTACGTGCATATATAGATGACTGCTTGGTCGCAAGTCCGATCATAGAATTTCATCTTCAGCATGCAAACCTTGTTTCCGAATGAATGCAAAATCACGGCACTGCCGTAAACATTCAAACATATCAGGTTGGTACCATTTCTCTAGATTTACCAGGACAGAATATCGGTGCTTAAAGCATCCGACCTATTAAAAGTAATGTGGTGGCCATTTGAGATTACCTAGAACTGATCACAGTCAATTAATTATGTACGTTCAACGGTCTGGTAAGTTTTATCGACGGTTTGTACCGAATTGAACGTCTCTCATGTGACTCTTAACCGAACAACTTCGTGCAAGTGTGAAATTCATCAATTTGGACGACAACGCGATAAAGGCATTTTTCACAGTTAAATAACTTATCACCAAAGCAACGTGGCTCACACACGAAAACACCCATTATTATCTCAGTAGATGCAATCGACTTGTTAGCAAGGGAGTCTTACAACAATCGGTAAACAACACTTTTCTGTCTTCGGCATTCCTCGCGAAACGGTTGCATGACAACGAATCGAGGTATAACAGTTTCGGTAGCGAACTCCTAGCCGTGTACTGTGCTACACGACATTTTCAACACTGTAGAAGGCTGTGAATCCGCCCTATTTGTCGAGCGTAAACCTCTCACCTCTCTAAGCTGATCTCCGGGAAAGCACTCCCGTCGATAGTCTTGGGAAGTGGACTACATTTCACAGTTAACCTCAAATATACAACACACCTCTGGGGTAAACGATGTATGCGTTGACGGCAACCGTAGCCGTTGAACACAGACGTCTGTTGCACATCACTGATGTGATGACGAAAATTCTTTATCTCGTCAACACTGACACAAAAGTCTGTGTTATTCCCGCAAGTACTAACGAACGATCGCACGAATAGGTTTTTTACATACAGGCGGCAGGCAGGAAACTGATTGGCCGAACGTCATTAGTTAGTGGCGTGTGCAGTAAAACTAAAATGTGCAGCATCAATGTCGAGTGCTTACAAGCCACTTTGAGGGATAATTCACAGATACAATGTTAATTAGGAATCCCTGAAATAATGCATACCAAGTAGACAGCACTAGGTGAGCATGTAGCGTGGAGTCGAGTTGAGATTGAATATGAACACCACTACAAGAAGACTACGTGCCACTTAACCGTTAAAATCTCCCGTAAGCCAAATATCAGAAGGCAATTGATGGCTGTAGTCGAGATGTATTTGTTGGCATGACCGAATTCGTGCAAGGTCACAATCGAAAGATAATGGAGCAGTAATATGGCTGCCTTTAGCACAGTTAAACAAACGAGCACAATGAAACAGTTACTAGTACAATTGGTTATAATAATAATTGTTTTCATTAAACTAATCGTGTTCTCGTGATAAAAGTAAGTCACTATAAGCACAAATGAATCTTTTGTATTCGGAATTCGAAATCAGACAGTCATCAATAGTTTATGCAAACACCACACACAGTCATCTCGCATTTAATCATCTATTGTTAGTTAACTTTGCACGCGACTATATAAATATCCCCCCCTCGAATTAGTGATCAATATTTTCCTTGTCTTAAATATATGCATTCAAGTTGATCATAATTTTTTATTTCCTTCAATATTTTATGGTCTATTGCCAACTGAATATCTTTTTAGTCATTGTAGCAGAACAATCATCCTTAAATGTTAAGCAACTGTAGGATTCGCAACTGGTTAGTTATCTATATTAATTGACATAGACATGTCGAATTCACACAACTGTATATTCATTTTGGATAACAAGATCTTACCTAGCATATGATCATCAAATGTATTAATCCGATTCAGTCTGTTGTGGTTTGTTCGGTTTTATGATTAGTCCTAAACCTTTACTCGTAAATCTTTCTATTTTCAATGTTTGTTCGTCTGCCTACATGCTCAACTTATTCTATCATTCCCATGATCTACTATATATATATACTATAGTATATGATAGGCTTTTTATTGCACATTGAATAGATGTCACTTCATTGCATTCCATTCTAATTCATATTAGGCTTGTCTAATGCTAGTGTGGGTTTAAGTCGTCACACTACAGTCCCGGATTATAACGATTTGTGGTAATCCTATCACCACTGTACCCATTAGTAATACAGTTCCTGGATATTCTAATGGTAGGGTTATTGTAGTTCCGATACAAGTAGGAAAATGTCTAACTCGCGTTGATCCAGTACGTCAGTTCAGTCTGGTGTCCATTCATTCCATCTTGATTCCGTTTGTTGTTAATGGGTGTATCAATTGGCCTAATTATTTGAATATATATTTAATAATATTACTATTTTAACTCTCGGTCAATGTATCCATAATCGGTTAGTGATGTTAATTACATAAACACGATATCACCTAATCGTAATATATTACGAATACAATTTAATTGTTAAAAAGACAATCGACTAGTGATGCTAGACGAACTACGTTGCTGAGCAGTAACCATTCATAAGAGTGAAAAAAACTAACTTATTATATTTACTGACAGTCTCCAAGTCAAAATAATTGAGTAAATGACTAAGTAGTAGTATCCTTAATTAATGAAGAGAGATAACTTATATACATATTCATTTAGTCATTATACTTTGGTATAAAATTAGCATATAGTTATTTAATTTTCGGGATTATTACAGTGGGACAAGCCTTGTTAGATGTTACTACCCGATCCCATCACGCTACTTATTGTTACTGACAACCAACATATTGTAAGATATTTAAATTGGAATCAGACTTGTTACATAACCTCACTAGGACGAGATAACATTGGACCATGTATATGAACGCAAGCAAGAGTTAATTGTGCATAGAAGCTACACGACAACTAAGCAAATGGATGACCTGCTGTAATTTCGTATAGCGATTGCTTCTTAATTTACATTTCAAGAAGAAAGCATACAAATGGCGTTACTGTCGACAGAGAAGTCAACCGCCTTCAACGACCTGACACGATATATAAGGATTGGGCCTGACTACCAGGAATTAATTTATTACAGAATGAATGACCTACAAACTAATTGCCTCCAACCACACATGAAGTTTTGCTAATCATGTATCATTATTTTGTATATAACGCACGTTATCACAAAGAAGACCTATCATTCTTTGACCTAAACCAGTCATTCTCGTAGACACCTGATCAAACCATATCACCTATCCATCAATGCTCCTCTCATTTATCTTAACACTTAGCATTTTGTCTCACCAACCAAAATCTCCATTCACAACACAATCGGATATCCCTTAACCACCAGCTGGAACTAAACGACGAAGTGAAACGAATTTAAGAACAACGCACTGTCATATTTACCAGTAAACATAATCCGTAACCTTACATATGTTGATTTAATTTTAATCTGGCAAATATACTTGTACCATGGTGTTACATAATGCATGAAAATGTATTCTTACTGGTTTCATCACACACATCAAGGTTGAATGTGTTCGTAAAATAGATGTGCATCCGTACCACGGAGTGAGAGATCGTGAAGTTGGGCGTTTGGTCCCAGTAAGTAAGGCTAAACCAATTAACAAGATTGTAGTGATTAACAGGCTGGAGGACTTAGTACTGTCTTGGTGTTAATAAAAATAAGATGGGATGAATCTCAGGTTAGATTAGACAAAGAGTATCATCAATTGGTGATTGACATGAAAATACAGTGATAGGTGACGCTTGTAATCCAGAAAAAAGCGGTCGGACATTACAAAAACACTATTTGAAGAAGATCGTGCATTTTCACTAATCTCTAGAGTATTGGTCTAAATTAGTGTGTAACTTTGGAGGCTTCTATAGTTAATACGTTATGGTTGGAAGATTACAAAACAAAGCTTTCTTCATTATATTTTTAGAACCATCAGACAACCAACCGATTGGAATGTATAAAAAGATAACTCGTAATTGAATTTATTAGATTGTTACTTAAATATTTTGCACAACATTAATGGCTGTTTTAATCAAAAAAATGATACTAAGACACGTAAATAATTAAGGAAATTCAGTTGGTTTAGTTGAAATGCACCATGGAAATTACTCAAAGTGAAATATAAAGCTAGAAATCGAAAATGTAGAAGTTAACATCCACAGACAATGGATTTTCTTATTCGTTTGACCAAAACGCATTCGATGAACCACCGGGAGGTTGAGCCGTTTTAACTGACGTGTGTATTTTCCTCTGACCAGGTGGTAAGGCCACTAAAAAATATTTAAGAAACAAGCAATGTGAGCTACAAATAATTTGTTAGTATAGAGTAAATAAAAAGTCGTTCAACGTAGGCTTCATGTTTTCAGTGCTTACATGACGACGGTATTCTTATCATGAAACATTGACGATTGTGTTTGCTCATCTCTCTCTTTGGGATATTATTATTTGATAGAGCCGCTGCATTACAAATGTAGTATGCTTACACAAAAGACACACCAAATTTGTTAGCCGAGTAATTAACTATACAGTTCGGTTATTTTCATTGCAATTTAGTTACATATAGTTCCATGTGAAAGTGATGGTCATTATAGTTATGTAGTTTAACGAAAATGTCACGAAGATAGTTGGAGGACAACTAGGGATATCAAGTGATACTCGTTTGTTTAACTACTGACCTATTAAACTTAGAGTTTAGTTAGTTTACTGATATTGACTCTAATGATCCCCAAGTTGAAGTGTTGAAAAGGTTTAGGGGTTGGAATACAATAGAGTAGATTTTCAGATTATGACTGCATAAGAGTCAGTGAACACACTGTTGTTTTTGTGGAATAGACGGAATATGGTTCGTAGTAGAATTCATGATGCGCATTCCGTCCTGCTTGGGACTCATCAACTAAATGTACTAGCATCCCGGTGTTGATACTCAGTTTCTTGATGGATTTTTGTATGTGCGAAATCAAACTATGCATAGTGTAAAAAATTAACTAACCTCTGGGTATATTATCATAATATTCTTTCCGAAAGTAGTACCCTTCCTTGTTATCATTTGAAGTTTCAGTAGTAATAGAAACTGCATTTCCTACGTATGGTTCGCGTTGGAGCATTTTAAATTCGGAATTGACACTTCTTTCCACTGAATCGACACGAGCATACACATGATGAGAAAATGGTCGGCAAACAAGCAGTTTCCCATAAGTGGAAGTGTTATTTGAAAACTCGGTATTCTGAACAGCAATATGACCACGTAATATAACCACTTCAGGTCCCGAATGATAAGCAGAAGTGTTAGAAAATAGGTTAGGCACACCATCGGGTAAAATGTTTTTCAAAACGTCTTGCTTATAGGAGTTCGACCAAACTAATATATCGGCGTCTGAACCGACTTCTATTCTGCCTTTCTGAGGATAAACATTAATTAATCTTGCAGGATTAGAGCTAGTTACTTTGACGAACGTACGAGGATCCAAAAATCCACTTTCAACCCCAAAATGCCATAAGGCAACCATTCTATAGCCCAAAGATGCTATACCACGAGGTATATGTACAGCACTTTTTGATCCAAAAGCTGCACGAACTGCAGTGGTTATTGCCCGATGACCTGAACCAACGCAAGTCAAGTCTTCAGAGACGAGGTGAGTCAGCAACCTTCGGCTAAGATAAGTATCTGGTCGTAATGGAGGGTCGCACATGTAACTAGCAGCAACAGCCCAATTCTTTGAATGGGTCAACACGTCGTCAGGATGATCATCACAGTTTATTAAAGAAAGAGGAATAGCTATTGCGGGGATACTAGTTTGTCCAAATAATATACCTCTACACATACGGCGCTGTTCAATGAAGCAATTTAGTGCTGCTTTACTATGAATTCTAGAAATTAAAAGCGGACAACAAAATCCTGCATATTGTGAAAACAAAGATCCTTGCAATATACTATTTGCCTCAGCTTCTTCCGGTGAAACTAATAAATTGACTTCTGGACCAATATCGGGACAATTGATTTGCACGTCTGAGGATAATTTCTCAGCTAACGACACAGAAGTAGCTGCTTCAAGCATTGGCAACGCTCCTAGTTGTCGACAAGCCTTTAAGAAATAACAAAATTCTTCTTCATTGATAATACACTGTTCACTATCTGCCACAGATGAAGATTTTGAACCCACACGAACGGAAAATAGCACCACTCCTTTATCTTGAACTAAAGTATTCAGATCGTTGTTCGTTTCTGATGAGAAGCCAGCCAACCGCAAGCATACACCATAATCGCATGCTAGGTTTTCATGGGCTGATGATACAAACTGTTCATATGCGTCTATTAGTGATTCCCCAGGATAAGCATTAACCGTGTTTACTAAGGATAAAATAAATTGGATACATATACGAAAACTCAAAACGAAACAAAATAAGTAGCCTTTATTTATCAAAAAAAGATGTGATGAGTGACTGTTTCTTCACGAGTAATAAAAGGGTGACATTTAGGAGAGCATATGTAGTAGTAGTCTTACCAATACATTCATGTTAATGATCTCTATGACAGCTTGAAACTAATCCTTAGTGTTTTTTAACTCACGACACAAGTTTCAGATAATGGCAACTCTAAATGCTGGTGGTGAGCTTCACCTTAACAGCGGGTTGTTTGCTCTAAATTACTTTACGGCTATGAGAAATATACTTTTAAGGTGTAGGAAATTAATAGGTTACAATAACTGACTATAAATATCTTCAAATAATTGATCGGATATAATGGGAACACCAAGTGGGTAATGCTGAAGTTGGGTAAAGTACTGAGCAAAAATGGCAAATGGGTTGACGAGTTTGTGGATACTCACCGACTACGGTGATTTGAACGGTTTTTTCGCTCTCTATGTTAATGAGTTTAAAGTGGTCAAACTGTTAAGATACATTAAGTCGGAAAGCCTGGTACTCACAAATTCTGAAAACAATCACTAAATGCAATAAGGATGGATTACCACGGCTTTGATTAAAAGAGAATAAGTAAAATCACTTGTTCAGTCAATATAAGCTGAACTGGCAAAATATAGACACAGACTAATAGTGTAACCATGCTGTCTTTAAAACTCAATTTACTTGAGCATCTTAGTTGTTAATCTTCAATACATCGCGCACTTTATGTAATCTTCAAGGCCCCTGATATTTCACCTCTTTCTGAAATATGATCGGCATTTCAATTGTTTCACGGAATTTTGATTTACAACCATATTAACTGACTCGTTCTCTTTATCTAACATTACCTTTCACCACAGATGTACTTCGTGAGTGCACCAAATCAAAACAGTATGAAGACGGGGTTTTATATATAATATTTTGAACTACGTATCTTACAGTTGCATTGTACGACAACACAAACCGTCTACTTCTTTAGATAAGGATTAAAGATAACGAAACGTCTCAAGTCAAGTAGACCAGAGAAGTTCAAAAGAGTTAAGTATCGTTAGATGTCTGGTAGTAACCACTACACCAGATATGAACAAACTCGGGTACATCAAACCAACGAATCAATCTTCGTTCGTTAAGTTTTAGTTCAAACAAATTCTAGGCGGTTGGACAGTGTGAAAAAATCTGCAAACGCCTTTTAAAAGCTGGGCTAATAACCAAAGATACAAAAAAGTACTGTTGACAAACTTAGCTATTTTCACAGTTCGTTTATTAGATTTATAGCGCTTAATTGAGGCTTTCACTATTTACTTTTGATTAAAATCGATAGTAAGTAGCTTTGACATTCCTGGAAAAACTCTATGGGTAACGCACCACTGAACTCAATAGAGCCAACAAGTTTGAGAATACGAATATTGTATATTCTCTTACTAGCCTATTACGTGACTGTCTGAGGGATAGCATATTTTCTCGTAGATTGTGAAACAATACCAAACAACTTAAATCGCAATGAATAATTCGACTTTTATATTATAAAACTAATTTGTGTTTAAAAGTTATGGGAGTGAAAATGTTTACATACCAATTGTAGTTGTACCACCAAAAAGAGCTGCTTTTCCTGAAGAGAGGTAAGTATCGGCTATAGGGTCATTCGAGGTTGCGACACCAATGTGACAGTCCAAGTCAATTCCGCCTGTTCGAAATCGTAAGTGAATTTATTTAAATACATACCAGGTAATAATAATTTATTACTTACGTCGATAATTTCTGTGCCGTTGGGGTAGCTAAGGTTTTCACCAACAGCCCTATGAGTGAAAACTAAGCGTACTTCACTTACTGAATAATACCATTATCAATTAAAACATCTGATTTGAAGGATACGTCATGGTTCACGACTGTGCCTCCTTTAAGCAACAGTGGTTTGGAAATCTTTAGAAATCATAGTTAGGAATCAAAAATCCTTACAGCAGAACCATCCGGCATCGATGTCGATATGTCCAATCAATACAGCAAGACAATGAGCCCTAGTTCCATTCCTTATGATGAACGAATCACAAC